AATGTACACAAAAATGGCGGTAAAATTACTCTTGAGATTCTACCTTAACTAGATACGCTCACTTAACACAAAACTTAATTGAGGTACAGAATCTTTGGGGAAAAGTTTGGGTACCTTAACTTCATCTCCTAAATGGTGTTAAGTGAACGTGTCTACAGTAGTTAAGGTAGAGTCTCAGTGTCAATTTTAATTTTAGTTTTGTGTTCTTCGTCAACCTTTGTGTGTGTGTCCGTCCGTCCACCCCCCCACCCACCAAACCCTCGCTCTTTGTACGATTAATTAAGAGAGAGTTTTTCCATTATTTTGGGTCGTAATTCTGGAGGAAAAGCCAGGCTGTATTGTCACTCCCCAGCGGCGTCTTCCTCCATCTAAGTTTTTGCCTCTAACTCCGTAGCTTTAAATAGGCCAGTGTTTTTTTTTTTAGCTCCCTTCCAAATGTTCCCCCTGTGTGTGTGTGTGTGTGTGTGTGTGTAAAATACGTGTCTGTGTCCTACATACGGGCGATGATTATTATTTACCAGTATTATCTAAGTTACCCCTTCATCTATTATCGTTTTCTTTAAAGTGTTCCTCTTGTTTACCTTTTTTGTGTAGTCCCCCCTCATCTCTCTTTGTATACCCACATATTCTCCTTAAGTTTCCCGCTCGTTTAATATCGTTTTCTTTTAAAGTCTTCTCTCATCTGTTTTGTTTAGGTTTCCCCTTAGCCATTGCCGTTTTCTATGAAGGTTTCCCATTGTCTGACTTGGTGTGTTTTTAAAGTCTACACCTCATTTACCTTCGTGTTTTTTTTTTGTTTTTTTTTTTGTGAATTATGTCTTCAGTGTTCCATCGTCCATCTCGTTTTCTTTATAAAATTCTCTCCCCTGCTTTCATTTTCATCCCTGCCTTCTTCATTTTCCTCCCTGCCTTAAATTCTCCCGTATCAGTTCAACTATGCTTCTTAAGTCACTCTCACTAGATCAGAAAACCTCCATGGCAAGTTACAGGAGAGATGGGGAACACACATGACTTGACCTGACCTGACCTGACCTAACCTACAGTGACTACCTTCTTCAGAGCTAGTCGCCAGAATCACAGTAACCCTTTGAGGACGAATAATTTGAGCACTCATACTCAAAGGGTTAAAATCATCGTTCTTGAAGGGTTAAATTGTCGTCCTTGAAGGGTTAAAATCATCGTTCTTGAAGGGTTAATTCGTCGTCCTTGAAGAGTTAAATCGTCGTCCTTGAAGGGTTAATTCGTCGTCCTTGAAGGGTTAATTCGTCGTCCTTGAAGAGTTAAATCGTCGTCCTTGAAGAGTTAAATCGTCGTCCTTGAAGAGTTAAATCGTCGTCCTTGAAGGGTTAATTCGTCGTCCTTGAAGAGTTAAATCGTCGTCCTTGAAGGGTTAAATCGTCGTCCTTGAAGAGTTGAATCGTCGTCCTTGAAGAGTTAAAAGCGTCGTCCACTAAAAGTTGAACCTCGAGTCATTAAAATACCGCCCACAAATAGGGAGGCATTGAGGGAGGTGGTGAGGGAGACGTGAGAAGTAGTGAGGGAGACGTGAGAAGTAGTGAGGGAGACGTGAGAAGTAGTGAGGGAGACGTGAGAGGTAGTGAGGGAGAAATGTGACGAGACGGTAAGGGAAGCACACACACACACACACACACACACACACACACACACACACACACACACTCACACGTTCATTTTCCTCATTAGTATTCACACAAATATTTGACTAACAAAAGAGTGAAGTGTTTATTTACATCCGCGGGCTTCACTAACTCTCCAGGTAAACAAGGCACACCTGCCCATCCACCTGGGGTCACCTGCTCGCCTTTATACAATTCTCAACACGTCCCGCTTACGGCCGCTATGTGAAGTGTTGACTCTCGTGGCCAGAATCCGTGTCCCTATTGCAGCTATAAGGAGAGAGAGAGAGAGAGAGAGAGAGAGAGAGAGAGAGAGAGAGAGAGAGAGAGAGAGAGAGAGAGCCTGGATGGTGTGCTTGTTGGTGGTGAGGAAGCATACACATGTCACACACACCACCTAGGGTCAGGGACGAGTTTTTTCCTGTATTGTACCGTCAAGGAGACATGGTGTTTTGTGTGGGTGTCTGTCTGTCTGGGAAAACTCTCCTTTTCACCCTCCTCATTCCAGCTTCACTCCACCTCACCCTAGCCCCTCCACCTTCACCCCAGCTTCTCTCCACCCTCACCCCAGATTCTCTTCTACCCTCACCCCAGCTTCTCTTCCACCCTCACCCCAGCCCCCACCTCACCCCAGCTTCTCTTCCACCTCTTCACCCCAGCTTCTCTCCACCTCACTCCCCCAGCCCTCCACCTCACTCCCAGCCCCTCCACCTCACCTCCCAGCTCCCTCCACCCTCAATTCCCAGCTTCTCTTCCACTACTCCCAGCCTCCCACCTCACCTCCCAGCTCCTCCCTCCCTCCACCTCACCCCAGCCCCTCCACCCTCACCCCAGCCCCTCCACCCTCACCCCAGCTTTTCTTCCACCCTCACCTAATCCTCCCCACTTAACCTACGTTCAAGTACTTGGTGAGTGAGTGAGTGAGTGAGTGAGATTATGAGTGAGTAAGAGATAGTGAGTGAGTGAGATAATGAGTAAGTAAGAGATAGTGAGATAGTGAGTAATATCAAAATAGTTATACCCCCGTCTTAACACCTCTCTCTCTCTCTCTCTCTCTCTCCAAGTAGGTGAAGGCACAGGTGAGATGCTTTAACACAGTCTCAGGTGAGTTAGGGTGGCTCTTACACCTGATTCCTCCTACACCGTCGCCGTCAGTAGTGTGTCGCGGTATGAAGGTAATTTTGAGTCCGTTCTCCTCCAGATGTTCAGGGAGTTATGTCTGCAGGTGAACATTTACCTTCAGGTGGTTCTAGGTGGCCCCACGTGTGTAAATCTAGGGTTACTCGAGCCCCGATTTCAGTGTCAGGTGTGTGTGTGTGTGTGTGTTCGTCAGTGCGGGTGGGGGGTTCGCCTGTCGGGGTAAGCTTGGGGTGGAAAGTGCCAGGCCTCTGTTGATTTGGCTAAATATATATGTATATATATATATATATATATATATATATATATATATATATATATATATATATATATATATATATATATATATATATATATATATATATACTGTATATATGCATACTGTACATACATAAATATATACATACATATATACACACATACTATATATACACAAATAAAATAAATTATAATGGTTGTTCCTCGTGTAACGAGGATGCCCGGCCCAAGGGCCACATAAGCGTGAATTTGTTTAAGGTGTAGAAGCTGTCTCCAACACAACAACCACACCCTGAGTTAACGAGCTGCATGACCCAGTGTCACGGAATAGTCCGAGAAGACCGGACAATTCGCCAACTGCACTGGCTAACCATTACCCCCGGAACACGATCCGCAAATCGATTAACATCCAGGTCCCCAATTACTACTGGGTAGACCGAGGCAAATGGCGTAAAGAAACTTGCCCATAGTTTCACCTTGTCCGGGGAACGAACTCGGGTCTGCACGCTTGCGAGGCGAGCGGAATGCGGATATATATATATACATACATACATTGGTAGATAGAAAGAATAATTTTTTTGTGTGTGTGTGTCTAAATGACGAAGAATAATGTAATAATATCCAGTCATCTCTCTCTCTCTCTCTCTCTCTCTCTCATTTCCTTATCAACATTCAAGTTTATTTTTACACAGGTACATCAGTGGCATTATTATTATTATTATTATTATTATTATTATTATTATTATTATTATTATTATTATTATTATTATTATTATTATTATTATTATTATTATTATTTGTTCTCGGGGGTGTACAGGTGTCTATTAAGGTGTGTTCATTTATTTCCGTACAGGTGTTCAAGGGAGTTTATTTAACATAGGACAGTTGTGTTCAGGTGCGCTACGTGGCAGGTGTTGCCTTAATTAATGTACAGTTAATATGAGCGGCGGAGTTTGGTGATAAAGGTAACATTTTTAGAGTCACTCGTGATAGGAATCTTGGTGTAAAAATGTTGTTGTATTTTGTGGTGGGAAATTGAAGTTACGGATGTTGAATGTTTGTGTGTGTATGTGTAGTGGGGCGGGTGTGCGTATGTGTAGTGGGGTGTGCGTATGTGTAGTGGGGTGTGCGTATGTGTAGTGGGGTGTGCGTATGTGTAGTGGGGTGTCCGTAGGTGGTTGTGGGGTGCAGGTAGGTGGTAATGGTTCTGTTGGTGGTGAGTGTTGGTAGTTGGTGGTGGTGGTGGTTCCGTCTGTCTGTCTGTTTGTCCGTCAGTTTAGGTAGAATTTACTGTTTGTGAGGTCCTGTACGTACACACACACACACACACACACACACACACATCTTGCTCTTCAGAAAATTAATTTGAATTCCTGTGTGGAGATTTTTGGGACATGTAAAATATGTTGAGAGAGAGCTAGTGGCCGCCCCTACACGCCCACGGTATCATCAACACGCCCACAGCCTCGCCAACACGCCCACAGCCTCAACACCACGCCCACAGCCTCACCAACACGCCCACAGCCTCACCAACACGCCCACAGCCTCACCAACACGCCCACAGTTGTTCTACTGACCCGACCTTCTCACACGGCTGCCTTCTAAAGCTATGAGAGTGTAAGAGGATTACTAGGTGGGAGGGAGGGAGGGAGGGAGGGAGGGAAGGGAAGGGAGATTGAAGGAGGGAGGGTTGGTAGGGAAGGACACGTCACTGTTTGTCGCTTCTCACTTGTCTGTCTGTCTGTCTGTCTGTCTGTCTGTTACCTGAGCATCTATGTATAATATGTGACTATTTGTTTATGATAAATTATACAGAGTTGAGTGTTTTTTCCCACCTGTTCTTGGGGTATGTCTCTAATGGTCGGATCACCTGAAGAATAGACACCCTAACGCTTACCAAAACTAACGTCACCTGGTAGTGGGTAGTAGCGGTTGTTATGGTAGTGGTGATGGTGGTTGTAGTGGTAGTGGTGATGGTAGTACACACACGTCTGGCAGCTATAAAACACGGTAGCCCTCGCCCTCCCCACCAGTGCTTGCCCGACCACGGTGCTACACGTGTCTCCTACACGACTCTGACCGACCACCAGATACACCCCCCTGGCCACCCCCCCCTCCCTCACACACACACTGTCCCACTGTACCAACCTCCTGTGGCACCTGACACTAGTTCCACCTGACACCACTACCACAAAGCACGTGACACGTTACACCAGTGTCACACCTCCCGTGGCACCTGGCACTAGTGTCACGCCGTCAAGTAATTGCCACCTGTGGATCCTCTGTTGGCTGATTAATTAAACCCTTCACACCTGGACGAGCACACAGGTACACCTTCCATGTTAATTATTATCACATTAATTATAACCACATATCATCACATTAATTATCATTATCATAACTAATTGTCACTCGTGATGGTAGACAGGTGTGTAATGGTGGTAGACAGGTGTGTAATGGTGGTAGACAGGTGTGTAATGGTGGTAGACAGGTGTGTAATGGTGGTAAACAGGTGTGTAATGCTGGTTGACAGGTTTGTAATGGTGGTAGACAGGTGTAGTGGTGATAGACAGGTGTGTAATAATGGTAGACAGGTGTGTAGTGGTGATAGACACGTGTAGTGGTGGTAGACATATGTAATAGTGGTAGACCGGTGTGTAGTGGTGGTAGACACGTGTAGTGGTGATAGATTATACACTGACGTTTTAATTACTTTAACAACTTAGGTAAGGTAATAGTGTCATGCAATTGTGTTGTTAACTTGTGGATGGTAGTAATGGCGAGTTCTACTTAACTTGTTAACTTTTGGACGTTAGGTTAAATTGGGTTAGTGTGTGGGGTGGGGTAGGTTAGGTTAGGTTAGGTTAGGTTAGGTTAAGTTACAGCAAATTCAATTAGGTTACGTTAGGTTATGTTAAGTTAAACCAAATTAGGTTAGGTTGGGTTAGGTTAAATTAGGTTGGGTTAGGGTGTGTGTGTATGATGTACTGTAGGGTCATGTAGAGAACTAGGCCGCCCCTGGGGCTTAGGCGGGGTTGTGGGTGGCGGGATGGCTTGGTGTTGGGTGGCTTGGTGGGTGGCGGGTTGGCTTGGTGTTGGGTGGGTGGCGGCTTGGAGGTGGGTGGCTGGATTGCAAAGATGTTGACAGCGTGCATTATTAGTGTTGTATGTGTACACTTGTGTGGGGTTGAGATACACACACACACAGTAGTCTTGGTGTAATTTCAATTCCTTTTTACATCTCGGGCTTTGCAATCTGTTGAAGTGAGCGAGCAATAGTGGCCTCTTGTGTCGCTGCTGTGGCCTCTGTGTGGCCTCGTGTGTCGCTGTGATATAAGACGCTGTTATGGTGGAATACTTAACCTGGGAACCTCTTGAGATGCCAGAAGATAATTCCTACCTCCTCTTCCCTTATCCCCTTCCTCCCCTTCCCCCACCCCCTACCTCCCCTTCCTCCCCTTCCCTCACCCCTCTTTTCCTCTTCCCTCATTCTCCCTCCTCCTCTCTCACCCTCTTCCCTCACCCCCTCCTTCCTCTTCCATTACCCCTACTTCTCTCCCCCTCTTCTCTCCCTCCCCCTTTGGCCTCCACACACTAATATAAGGTACGCTTGTGTGTAATAATAATAATAATAATAATAATAATAATAATAATAAACGGTTTTGTAATAGAGTTGCTGCCGGTGGCTGAAAATATGCAAACTTACATGTGATTTGCACATAATAATATACGTTCAATACTTTTACAGGGCTGTACACTGTACAGTACATAAATCAGGAGCTGTTTATTATTTTAACAATAGATGGGATGGTGCTGTTCGTATATCTATCAGTGCGGGCTCTTATGGGCTGAGTTTTGTTGTAGTGGCGGACTGCGCGAGGTGGGAGGGGGACTGCAGGTGGCAGTAGGTGGCGATGACGAGGATGGTGCAGTAGTCCACTGCCAAACCCTGCTAGTGTGTGTGTGTGTGTGATTGGCTTGTGTGGGTGATGAACGATGCTTTTCATTCAATATACTGTAACAACAACAACAGCTGCAACAACTACAACAACAACAACAACATACAAATAAAAAATATGAAGAGAGATGTTAAATTATAATCCCACTTAACGCCATGACACTCCAGCCGCCGATGGTAAACACGACCAGGGAATTTTGACCACAAACTGTACAGGTGGGTCGTGCCTCTTGGTGAATGTGTCGTATTTACATCACACACACACCACACCCCCCCACACACACACACACACACACACACACACACACATATGTTTAGTCATCTTTCATATTCGTGATCATATTTAGTCTTAAATGATTTCTGAATATCTTAGTCAGGTTGTGGATTTTTTTCAGCGAATTCTTGGGATCTGGACCATGACGAGTCAGCTGTGTCAAAGAAAGCGATGAAAAAAGTATTATTGGGTAAACTCAAGTATTTTGGGGGACTGACGTGTGTGTGTGTCAAAGCTTATCTAATAAAAATTGCTGTAATATCATAATAGTTTTGTACTCTGGATTTTTTACATTATGGTACGGACCCGTGATGATGGTACAGTGAGGTGTTACGGTACAGGAATACAGTGATGGCTGGTCAGACGTCACCATATTTCATAAACTAATTTCCAGGCCCTCGGTAAACACACACACACACACACACAGAGTTGAACTATTAAAGGCAGGTTGTAAATATGACTCCCGGGGCTTTACTAATGACCTCCTCGCGGTTTGTTGTAGTCCACGCAAACAAGTCTGCTCCAAAATACATCCATTCAAAACATCTTTACTTATATGTGTGTGTGGGCGGGGTGTTTTTTGGGTGTGTGTGTGTGTGGGCGGGGTGTTTGTTGTGTGTGTGTGAGTTGGGTGTGTAACTGTGTATGTATGTATGAATCTGAATTTTTTTTTTAGACCGGACAGCAGCTAGTTTATTGTGCACCTCATACTCATCCTGTGGGAGGTAGCGCATAAAGGATTACAGGTCAGAGGTCACAAGGGTCTTTATCAGAGCCCAGTGGTCAGGATACTGTGGCGTTGAGAGTTAGAGTATTTCTTGTACATTGTTTGTTTAGTTCGGTACATAGAAGTTAACTTAGCTGGTAGATAAGAAGTGTGGATACAGCCTTAGTATATCTTGTATAAGCTATCTTGCCATCAGAGATAAAATGTTGTGCTATTCTATAAACAGTGTGCTTTGGACTCATATCACACACACACTCACACAACTACTACTACTACTACTACTACTCCCTTTCTCTCTCCTACTCCTCCTCCTCCTCCTCCTCCTCCAGCCCCTACTCCTCCCCACTCCTCCTCCTGACCCCCTCTCCATCCTTTACCCCCTCCTCCCCCCCACCCTCCTCCTCCTGCTCCTCCTCCTCCCTGCCCCCCACCTCCTCCCTCCTACCTCCCACCCCTCCTCCTCCCTACCCCCTGCCCTCCTCCTCCTGCCCCTACCCTCCTCCTCCCACCCTCCCTACTCCCTCCTCCCTACCCCCCTACACCTCCTCCTCCTACCCTCCCACCCCTCCTCCTCCTGCCCCTCCTCCTCCTGCCCCTCCTCCTCCTGCCCCCCCTCTACCCTCCCCCCTCCTCCCCCTCCCCTCCCCTGAGACGTGTGTAAATCAATGACCCACACACTCCTTGGTTCCACCAAAAAAAAAAAAAAATCAACCTACTTGACGTCAATACACGGAAAGCGAATTAAACTTGAACGATATTTTAAACAGTGTGAAATAGGACGAAGTTTTCTTAGACACTTTATGTTGACGTTATTTTTAGTGGACGAGGTGGATTTTTCTGTGTTTTGTTAGGTTTGGTTAGGTTAGGTAAGCGTTAGGGTGTTTATTCATCAGGTGATATAAGCTGGGACTAATCTTCAGATGTTTGCAAGTTAGAATGATGTTAATGATGTTGACCATTACCTAATAACTGTGATTATAAAGAAAATAGCATGAGATAACAAAGGGGGGGGGTAGTATGGGGGAGGGGTGTAGGGAGGGGTGTGAGCAAGGGGGGAGGTGGGAATGGGTGGGGAGGGAGAGGGTGTGAACATCGTGGTAAACACTCAGTAATTATGGCCGCGTCTGCCAGACCTCGGCGGGGACCAGACTGTACCTCATAACCTGCCACTTATGTTGTCTGCCGCCACCACCACCCGGGTATAAAGCTCCTTCATCTACAGGTGGTGTGGACACCTTCCCTTCACCTACAGGTGGTGTGGACACCTCCCCTTCACCTACAGGTGTTGTGAGCACCTACCCTTCACCTACAGGTGTTGTGAGCACCTCCTCTTCACCTACAGGTGTTGTGAGCACCTCCCCTTCACCTACAGGTGTTGTGAGCACCTCCCCTTCACCTACAGGTGTTGTGAGCACCTCCCCTTCACCTACAGGTGTTGTGAGCACCTCCCCTTCACCTACAGGTGTTGTGAGCACCTCCCCTTCACCTACAGGTGTTGTGAGCACCTCCCCTTCACCTACAGGTGTTGTGAGCACCTCCTCTTCACCTACAGGTGTTGAGCACTTCCCCTTCACCTACAGGTGTTGTGGACACCTCCCCTTCACCTGGACGCACACTGTCTCAGGAGGTAATTAAAAAGTCTTCTCATTTGGTTAATTAGATCACTTGAAGGGAACTAGAAGATGAGCAGCCATGTATTGTGGTGGTAGTGGTGGTGATGCTGGTAGTTGTTGTATACGATGGTGGTAGTGGTAATTGATGTTGGTAGTGACAGTGGTATAAAAGATCAGAAGAAAGAATAACAGGAAAAAAAGAAAGAACAAGAAAGTAGTAGAGAATACGCAGAACAGTGGGAGCCTTGAGCAGTGCTATGTGGCCGCCTGCAAGCATCTTATTACTAGGGAGTCTGGTCGTGTTGTCTAGCCCAGTGAGCAGAGTAATGACACCACTAAACTGTGATGGTGACTATTAACATGGAAGGCAAGGTGGTGAATGTTTTATTACTACAGTGGTACAGTTGCAGAAAGGTGTTCCTCCGCCCCCTGTGGTAACCTGTCTCTCCAAACACCAACCTATATGACCCATAGCAAACCTTTCCACCAATCACATCATGTCGTAGCCAGTGGTACAGTCGGCCACACATCTACCTGGTACGGTTAGCAATGCCAATCCTCTCTCTCTTTTTGTCAATGATGTGTGGACGAGTGATGGGGGATGGCGGGGGTGGGTGTAAGGTGGTGGCGAGGTACAGGGGTTAAGGTGGGTTATAGACAATGAGAAGGATGGGGGAGGGGGAGGGATTTTTGCAGCTACCACATCGTATTTAATAAGAAATGTTAGGTTAGGTTAGGGGAAGTAATCCAAGCTCA